AACCCTTCTGATTTAGAACATTCCGACATATGGGATCTTTGTTCTGTTCCATCCAAACTCAGTTATCCAAACTCGGCTTTTAAAATTTTGTTAGTTTTGTGGATGACTTTTCTCGCTTGACTTGAATTTACCTACTGAAAAGTCGCTTTGAAGTGTTCTCTGTTTTTAAAATTTTCTGTGCTGAGGTTAAAAAATCAATTTCACTATACCATTAAAACATTTAAGTGCAGATAACGCTAAGGAATATTTTAAAAGCTCTTTCATAAAACATTTGGAAGAAAATAAAATTTTACATCAATCTTCTTGTACTTACACACCCCAACAAAATGGGGTTGCTGAGTGCAAGAAGAAACACTTGCTAGAAATTGCTAGGACTTTGTTATTCCATCGTCAAGTTCCAAAATATTTTTGGAGCGATGCCATTTTGACAGCCTGCTACCTTATCAATAGATTACCCTCATTTGTCTTACAGAATAAAACCTCAATCTCTCTTTTATATCCGACTGAAGACGCTTTTCATTTACCTCCTAAGATCTTTGGGTCTCTGTGCTTTTTTCACAATCATAGTCCTCAATGAACGAAATTAGATTCACAATCTCTTTAGGGTATTTTTCTTGGATATTCTAGGACTCAAAAAGGATACAGATGCTATGGCCTTGATTATACTGTCAAAGTAAATCCAGATCGCTCGCTAGCTCGCCTTAAAGCTCAACTAGTTGCGAAGGGGTATTCGCAGATCTATAGCCTTGATTATATTGATACATTCTCTACTGTAGCTAAAATGGTATCTGTCCACATTCTTATTTCGCTTGCTGCTTGCTACCAATGGCCACTACATCATTTGGAAACGTTAAAATACATTCCTTAATGACATTCTTGATGAGGAGGTTTATATGGAGCAACCACCAGGTTTTGTTGCTCAGGGGGAGTGTGGCAAGGTTCGCAGGTTAAAAAAATCTCTCTACGCTTTAAAGCAATCTCCGAGGACTTGGTTTAGACGTTTTGCTGTAGTTGTCCAGACCTTTGGTCTTTATCGATCTCTGAAAGACCACCCAGTTTTCTAGAGATTTCATGGTGGGAAGCGGATCCTTTTGGTTGTATATGTTGATGACATTGTGATCACTGGCGACGATGCACAGGACATTAGTCATTTGAAGAAGTATCTACAGCAACAATTTCAAACTAAGAACCTTAGATCATTAAAATATTTTTTGGGTATCGAGGTAGCTAGATCAAATAAGGGAATTCTCTTATCTCAGAGAAAATATGTACTTGATATGCTGCTAAATGCTGGGGTGTCAGAATGCAAGGGCATTAACTCACCTATGAATGATAAGATCAAACTACTATCGACTCAGGGGAGTTACTGGAGGATACTGAAGAATACAAGCGACTTGTAGGAAAAAATAAACTACCTAACAGGTGCGAGACCGAATAATACATTTTTTGTTAGTGTAGTCAGTCGGTTTCTCTCGGCACCTAGGAAACCTCATATGGAAGCCGTGAAAAGGATTCTTAGGTATCTCAAGAAAACTCCAGGAAAAGGAGTACTCTATTCAAATAGCGGTCACACGAGAGCTGCAGGATTCTCAGATGCAGATTGGGCAGGATCTCCGGAGGACAGACGGTCAACTACTGGGTATTGTATGTTTCTTGGAGGAAATATAATATCATGGAAGAGTAAGAAACAGAGTGTAGTCTCTCGATCTACAGCTGAGTCTGAGTATCGAACCATAGCGAATTTGACTTGTGAGCTGATCTAGGTTAGAGATATACTAACAGAGATTGGTTATCCTTCGGAGTGTCCAATGAGCTTGTATGGAGATAACAAAGCCGCCATTTACAAAGCTGAGAACCCGGTGTTTCATGAGAGGACAAAACACATAGAGATTAATTGCCACTTGATTCGGGAGAAGATGAAGAAGAGAATCATTAGAGCCAAGTACATACCATCAGACCATCAACTTGAGAACACAAGTGAATTTTATTTGTAACAAGCTAAGCATGTACAATATGTATGTTCAACTTGAGGGGGAGTGTTGAGAGAGTAGTTGTTTACTATTGTTTAGTCCCACGTTGATTAGGGACAAACTTCTTTGTTTTCTTAAACACTATAAATAACATTCTAGAGAAAGCTAATAAACTCACTAGGGTTTTCCTAATTTCAGAGAGCTTAAAAATAAATTAGTTTACTGGGTTATATGCAAAACATCCCTTATTTAATACCCAAAAGTGTGGTCCACAAGTTTTCATTATGTAAAAGAGAAATGCGAGTGAACCGGATGGTAAGGAGGTTCTAATATGGCTCACACGGTCATGGGTTTGACAATAATTTCATATTAGTCCATCAAATCTCAATAATTGCTCATTAGCCCCCCACATCCTGAGGGGTCTTGCAATTTGGTCCCTCAATAACGACAATAACCCTTGTTATGATTTCTCTCTTAAGATTCATCTTGCTCAAAAGTGATTCATCTTGCTCAAAAAAAGGGTTATTTACACTTTGGTACTCTAAAGTTTACACCTTTTAACTTTAATACCAATTCTTTTGGTGCTTCGCTACCCTAAAATTCACACCTTTCTACGTAAGTTGGAAGAATCTTCCTCATTGTCAAGCCAATCAATACGCCTGTGAACGACCCCTTATCAAAATGATCGCCCCTACTCATCACAGATTAGGCCCAGCGAAAGGGAAAGATATAAGTACGTATATACAAACACCTCCACTGGATTGGTTATTGTCAAACTACTCAACGCAACTATAAACTGTGATCTATTGTCATCACGACAAGAAAGGGCTTTTTAGCTTATCCTATATAAGTTGGAAGGATTCGTCTCAAGATGTTCCACATAATACCTCTACTAATACAAACATCTATCACGCTCATCAGTATGTCTCTGAAGACAACTCCCTCCCTGACACATCATGGACATTACACCTCTATCAGATCTTTTAAACTTTATTACCTCAAAGTTTTTTCCTAACATTTCTGTTACAATAAAATTTTATATCATTTTAACTTGATACCTCAAGGTTTTGTTTTTGACACTTTGATACCTTACACTTTACCTTAAACTTTAGGGTATTGAATTTAGAAAATGTGCAAACTTTGAGGTATCAAAGTTTAAAAATTAGTATCATTGGGTATGAAAGTTAAAAAAATGTATAAACTCTAGGGTATCAAAGTGTCAAAAAAGGTTTGGGGTATCAAAGTTTAAAAAGTTGTAATTTTTGGGTATCAATGTGTCAAAAAAGGTTTGGGGTATCAAAGTTTAAAAAGTTGTAATTTTTGGGTATCAATGTGTCAAAAAAAACTTGTAGAAATCAAAGATTAAAAATGTGCATACTTATTGCCAACTTGCAAACAACCTAAAGTCATTAGATCAAGGTATTTTGGTTATTGAGGGACTCAATTGCAATGAGCCTAGGATTTGATGGACTAATGAGTAATTATTGAGATTTGCATGACTAATATGAAATTATTGAAGATTTGATGGACTAATATCTAATAACCCTATGTAAAAAATACTCCTTAAAAATGCCAAATTGCAAATGACCCTTAAGAAAAATATTAGATGAGGGTATTTGGATCATTGAGGGAACAAGTTGCAAGAACCCTAGGATTAGAGGGACTATGAGCAATTATTGAGATTTGAATGACTAATATGAAATTATTGAAGATTCACGGGCATTTAATTGAAATTATTGACATTTGCGAGACTAATATGAAATTATTGAAGATTTAAGGGACTAATATTAAAATAACCCTATGTAAAAATACCCTCTAAAAATGCCAAATTGCAAATAGCCCTTTAAAAAAATATTAGATAAGGGTATTTTGGTCATTGAGGGAAGAAATTGAAATAACCTTAGGGTTTGAGGGACTACTAAGTAAGTATTGAGATTTAGAGGACTGATATGAAATTATTCAAGATTTGAGGGTCTATTAAGAAATTATTGAAGACTCGAGGAACTAATATCTAAATAACCCTATATAAAAAATAGGGTTGCCGAGATTCGAATTTACAATATACAACCCGTATCTGAAGACTTTAACCAACTGAGCTACTTTTCTTTGGAGAATTTTTGGCAAAAAAGTTTATTAAATATAATGGTTACTTTCACTATGAAAAGACATTCTACAATTGTAGACCCAATAACTTTAGTGTATATATAAATTGCGGATAGACCCCACTACTATTGCCCAATTGTGTATAGAACCCTGTAGTTCTACTGTTGTAGATAACTTTTCTGGCTCTTTTACCTTGACCTCATGGAAAGAGAATTTTATTTTATTTTATTTTATAAATAGACCTCTTGAGGGTAAAAGAGAAAAATTCACCCGGGCTCCATGTGCAATTGGGTGATAGTAGAAGGGGTCTATCAATAATTGGACTATAGTACAGGGGTTCTATCCGTATCAATAGACAAGAAGTATGTCTACAACAGCGATAGTACAGGGGATCTATCCGTATCAATAATTGGACTATAGTACAGGGGATCTATCCGCAATTAACCCTTATATTTAGAGTAATGACAGGTGTACTACACTTTTCATATTACCTTGGCACTACCATAAACAAGAGTGGGGTAATGATGAGTCACCGCTACTAAATTCTTAAGGAAGGATCCTGTTCTTTTGTTTGTGGTAGTGACAAAATAGTATGAAAAGTGTAGTGCACATACCATTTTTTCTATATTTATTAGCACACTTTTCATTTTTCTATATTTATTAGCACATACACCCTGATCTGATGATTGCTGCCATCTTCCTGTCAGTTTTTTACCTCGCTTGAGAATCTCGAGGTAATATTTTTAGCAAAGGTCAAACTTTGACCATCACCTGATTTCCATGAGATTTTAAAATTAACAGAAATATAATGCAATCATGATGGTCAGAAGATGTATGTGCTATTAAATTAAAACGCGGATAATAAGTAGCTACCTCCCCTAGTATAAAAGTTGCATCAGCAAATTATGATCATGACTAATAAAATACCCGCATTGGCTTCATCGTATCAATTTCTCGGTCCTCAGTTCTACTGACAGCCTCTAGAGCTTGAAGCTCCATAGAATCCCTGACAAGCTGACTCAAAAATGTCACATCGTCTGACATGACACCCAGTCCTTTTAAAAGCTTTGAGCCAAGCTGTAAACTAGTCTGCAGCAAATAATATAATCAGTTTAAAAATCCTTACAGGTATATTTGAATAAAGGTTTCAACGGTAGAAAGTTATGGCGATTGCTACCAACTTTTTACCTCAGCATTCTCAATAATAGCATCTGTTACACCTGCTCTCCTCAGATCTAATAAATGAGTCAGATCCTGAGCTCTAGCATATATAGGGACCTGTTAAAAGATCTTAGTTAGAGCAAATAACTAAATAATTCTCGAAGTTTGTCTGAGTTCTCTAAAAATGACACCGGTGAATCTTGAATATTATTGACCAGTTCTCCATAAAAACAGCTTCCTCATCATTCAATTGATGGAAACTACAATTGTTTCTTGATACTTTGATTTCCAACATGAAGTCAGACGGTTTTGGTGCAATGAGTGCTATATTTTCCATGAACATCCAGTTTTTTTTAATTTAAATGCATATCACAATAAAAGTCATTAAATTTTATGAAGTTTCAGTTAGATATTAATGTCTCTAAAAAGACCTTTTCCCATATCATTATGTCTGCTGTCTCAAAGTAATGCACCATTAAGAAGTAAAACAAGGAATTTACAATATAATGATAGAAGGAAAAACGTGGTACAAGTCAACTATTACCGCAGGGAATGCTAGCCGTATACGTTGAACAGCCTCAATTGTTCTCTGTTTACCCGTGTACATGATCATGATTGCTTTAGGAGAAGAAATACCAGCAGATTGCAAAACAGCTGGACGTGACCCATCTCCATAAAGTATCGGGAAGCCTGACTTTCTAGATGCCTGTTTAAAAGGATAAAATCCAAAATCATTTTGAATCTAAATAAATACAAACAAACCATAGAAAACACCACCACCACCACCATCACCACAAAGCCTTTATCCCAAATTTTTAGGGCTGTCTACAGGAATCAAAATTTTTCGATCAGTTCTATTAAGGTCATCTCCTCCATTAAACTTAACCAAGCAATCGCTGGTTCATCAGTGGATGAAATTTTGGAGAAAAAACAAAGGAGAGTGAGAATGCTACCTTACCCTTCAGTTCGCTTATCATATCTTTCTTAAAGTCTTCCAAGTTCCAACCAAGTTCTTTTAGTTCTACATCTAGACATCTTTGTCCAATTCACGATATTCTTATCACTTTTCCTAAATGGTGCATTTAGTGGCCTCCGTTGTACATGACCAAACAATCTCAATTAATTTTCTCCCATGTCATCCTCAATTGGGGCACCATCTAACCTCCTATGAATGCCCTCACTTCTTACCCTATCTCTTAGTTTAAAACACACAGAAAACAAGAACCAGCCTGCATTGTCACCTTCTAAGCCAGAAGCCAATGGTGTAGATAAGAAATTGGCCAGGACCTGCAGTATGCAAACTTCAAAATACATCTAAAATATAGCAAATTCCAAACTGGTATGTAATCATAATACCTGCCCCATTTGCCCAAACCCAAGGATGACCACAGGTTCAGTAGCATCAAAGTTCACCATCTCAGTTTCTTTCTGCCATTTGAGTGCTTTCAAGTTAAACAAAGACCTACAATTCATGAATCAATGTAGACAGTAGACTTATATCTAATGCTTACTTCTTTCACTTCGAACTTCTCATCAATAATACCAGCAGCTTTTCTTCCAATTTCATTCAGTAAAGGGGTTAATGCCATTGATAGAACAACAACGATTATGAGAAGTTTATTCAACTCAAGTGGCAGGACTCCAAGCCTGTTTGAGAAACAAAGATCCTAACATAACACGAACCAATAAGGCAAATAATTAGCATTGCCACATGCCACTGCAGGCTAACCTGTTTGCCAAAGAAAACACCACAAATCCAAACTCTCCTCCTTGGGAAAGAAGCAAGCCTATTCTTACACTTTCTTGTAAAGATAATCCAACACGGGGACCTATTGCTGTTATTATCAGTGTCTTGATAACAATTAAGCCTAACAAGAGGGAAAGAACGTTTGCCCATTCTCTGAATAGGAGCTGCACAGCAGAGATCAAAAGGTAGTAAGAAAGCTAAACTAGTCTTATTACAACTGTAAGCCTGCAACAGCCCATGAATTAGCAATTTTAATAAAAATCTTGATGTGGAAAGTGTACTAATATGATATTTCATTTTTTTAAACCATCGAGTTTTAGACCAGCAGCAACCTAGAGTACTGACCGTGACCGAAGGGTTTCATGCAAATAATCCAGATACTCAAACCATGTGTAGCAACAGTAATCAAGGATGCATAATCTGAAGCATTCAAGTATACAAAAGGTGATGAAGAGATGGCTTTGTGTCAAATTGGATTAAACAGCAACAGATAGAGTCCATAATCAATATTGCCCGAAGTTACAGATCATGAAGACTGAGGTTTGAGAGTAGATTCAGGTCTAATACACACAATTTTCTATCGATTTGTTCAAGGAATTATATGCAAGGAACTTGTGAGGATAGAGGTGATTTGGTAATAAGATTTCAGTATTTCAACTTAAAATCCCAAGGAGACATTATCAACATCATAAATATGGCTTTAAGGCCTCATTTGGCATGCAGGAGCGAGTGGGAATGGGCATTGAATGGTGATTCCCACTTTTCATTCATGCCTACCAAACATAACACCTTTTTTGAAGTGGGAATTCCCATTCCCACTTTTCATTCATGCCTACCAAACATAACACCTTTTTGGAAGTGGGGAATCTCATTCCTACTTCCCATTTGTTCCCCTTTTATATGGGAATGAGCATTCCGATTGAGAAGATAGGGAATGGTCATTCTCACTTAAATGGGAATCAAGAAATATTTATTTCTGATTATGCCCCCACCAAAAATATATTTCATAAATGTAGTCTAAAGATTTTAAACTTTATCCAAATTAATAATTAATCTAAAATGTACTTTAGAATCAACTCCATTGTAAGATTATAAAGTATATCCAAATTAATAATTAATCCAAAAGGTAATTACCTATCCAAAACTAGTTTCTATGAGAAAAATAAAACTACCCAATGGAAAATTATTTCTATGAGAAAATTAAAACTACCCAATGGAAAATTATTTCTATGAGAAAAATAAAAAAACATTTTTTATAAAATTTTTATTTGAAAATTTGAAATTATTTAGTCATTATTAATGATGTTTTTAAATTTTTTAAATTGTATTATTGCAGGAGAATTATTAGAAAATGACATTTCAATCTCACTTGAGAATATATGATACCAAACGTAGGAATGGAAATGTCACTGTCTTTCTCGCTTTCATTTTCTAGTATTGCCCAAACATGGGAATGAGAATGGGCATTCCATTCCTACATTAATTGCATTTCATTCCTCCCTCGATTCCATTCTCACTTGATTCGATTCTTGCGTAACCAATGAGGCGTAAGGTAGTGTAAGTCAGCCACCTAGTAGTGTTGTCTGACTGAAACCTTTAGGCTCTAGATGAAAATCAAAATCTATGATTTCAAATTGAAGCAACCAGATCGTCTAAGTTTTTATGATGACCGTCAGATACCTAATGCAGCCCTCCTCGGCTTGGGACAAGAACGAGAGGATATGATAGATGTCAATTAAATAGAGGAAGTCATCCTTTACAAAGGTGACCGGACAAAAAAGATTCATGTATTCAACCACAAATATTTGCGACACACATTATGTTTTTAGTGCTGTTTTGTTGTTGCCATCACTACAATGCAGTTTACAACACTGTAACCCCACTTACGATTAATTAAATATTCCTTAAAGTTATCTGAACCAGCCATTAAAATTCAAGACATAGACGGTACAATATAAATTGGAGAACTATGCTTATCAATCACTTGAAATCAAGGTTTGGAGAAACAAAGTCTCATCAAATTGCAGCAATTGTATGCAGAATTCTTCCTGATGAAATAACCTGTGGTACCAAACATCAACTTAAACAGGTCCTTGATCAATATTGTGTAAGCTCAAGTGGTTTACACAAGACGAGCTCTAAAAAGGATGCCATATCAATTAATAAGGTGTACTATATAATTGAATTGAACAATACAGATGAATCACTATGTGTGTGTCCAGACATGTATTTTACTTGATCTGATCCATTCGCTCTATTTGAGTACTCATGAAATCACCGCTAAGGTGCAGAGTTATTTCAGTTAAAACTGCATCCTGTAGATAAGTAACCAATAAAAAAATAACTAACATACAATATTAAGAAATTGTAAATACTTACTTCCTGAATCCAGAGCAGATATTTAATGGAAATACCAAGAAGTCCACTACCTACCTACATACATACATACATATAATGGTAAAAGTAAATGCTGCCAAGAAAAGGTTACCTGCATGTCAATGGATGTGCCAGTGGTAACAAAGAATAAGCCTAGCAGTAAGCCTCTGAAGGGCCTAATATCTGCTTCAATTTGAGTACGAAAATTTGTTTCTGCAAGAATGGCTCCTGCCAGAAACGCTCCTAGCTAGTGGCAAGAGATCCGCATATGTCAAAACTTCACAGAGGTATAGAGATGTTTAATAACTTTGAGAGAAAATAACCTACTGTGTCACTAAACCCGAGCATCTGAGTTAGGAGTGATGTTCCAGAAACAGTAAGCAGGCAAAGAGCAACAAAAGCTTCTGAACTCCGTGACTCCGCGACAACCTGTATCACAGCATTGATAATTGACAAAATCAGTGTCATGTATAGATACAAAATTCTAAAGACAAGCCTGCATCATCATAAAAGGTTTAATACAGACTTCAAAGATACGCCTCAACAAGAATTTTCCTCCAAGAGAGAGCAGGCCAAGCCCACCTAAGGCTTTCAAGCTCTCACTTGCTAGCATTGGCCAAATGCTTTCCTCTACAAGGTTCTGCAACCAAAGACAAAGACAGCAATACAATGACAATGTAATCATATAAACCTACAGAGCATATAGTCAAGAATATTACTAGAAGCGCTAACAGAGTCGAGGAAAATACAATGGAAATAGAAGGGGGAAAATGCACAAAAAATATGCTAAGTTTAACTTGCACAAGAAGGTTATGACATCAATGTCTACTGTTCAGATGTCCCATGTAACAAAAGTGCGATTGGAAGGACTTTAACAGGTGAATTTGCTTCTTTTTTTTTCTTTTCTCTTTTTTCTTCTTTCTGGAGATTATTGAGGGAGAGACAAAGATGTTTACTATCACTATTGGTTTACATCAAGGATCAGCTTTAAAACCGTATCTTTTTGCATTAATTATGGACAATCTTCCTAGGCATATTCAAGACAAATTTCCATGGTGTGTGTTCTTTGATGGCATAAATTGATTAAGACTAAGGAAGGTACTATTTTTAAAGTAGAAATGTGAGAGAAGCACTCGTGTCTACAGTAATTAGAATTAGGCTGTTAGCTGAATGAATAAGAGTACATGGAATGCAATCTTAGAATGTCGATGGTCAAGAAATACGTGGGAGTTATCATTTTTGTTATTCAGGATCAATAATTCATCAAGATGGTGAGATTGAGGATGATTTGGTTCATCGAATCAAATTAGGATGGTTAACAAGGAGTGCTATTGGAGTCTTGTGTAATCGTGGCTACCTCTGAAATGGAAGGGACAACTTTATTGGACAATTATGAGACCAACAATGCTATATGCTCAGAATGTTGTGTAACTGAAAAACATGTGCAGAAAATAAGTGTAGCATAAATAAGAATGTATGATAGACGATTGGATACATAATAAGGGATAAGATAAAAAAATGAGTGCATTCGTAGGAAGTTACAGGGTTTTCCTATTGAGGATAAATAAAATAAGAGGGACGTTTAAGATGGGTTGATCATGTGCAATAGAGGCCATTAAATGCGCCAATTAAGAAAAGTCACAAGATTATAGTTAATGGAGAAAGAAGGACCAGATGTAGGCTTTTAGGAACTGTGGGAAAAGGATATAACAACGAGTAACTTACTGGATAGCTCTCAGAAGAATTGTATGGAACTGTAGGATTCATGTAGTCGACCCCAAAGTTTGGGACAAATGCTTTGTTTTGATTATTGTTGTACCATGTACATACTATATTATTATATAAAGAGCGCAAAGAGGTGTGCATAATATCCTGTTTTAGTATAAAACCAGTAGAATATTGTATGAACCAATAAAATACAGCTATACCAGGCTCAAAACATTATTAAAATATTCTTCACAACATATTGATACATGAGAAGCTGTAGAAACTTGAGGGGAAAATGTTCGTGCAATATAGGTCCATTCTCTTTAATAATTCAAATGATCATAAGAACATGTACAATAACTGAAATTGACCAATATATCTCCATTTGCAAACAAGCCTGAAGTAAAAGAACTGTAAAAAACTCACTATCAGATAATGGATGGTCTAGTAGCAAGCAAGGAAACATATATTATTTTCTGTTCAGATGCACAAGCAGTGAAATATCTTAAAGAACATTATCCATAATAACATAATTGCAAGATGTTTTGAGTATAAACACATATTTGTTTGTCATAGCTATGAAGTTCTTGGTTTCTGGTTATGGAAGGAAACAGGGACATTAAATCACATCGATATCAAGGTTCTATAAATCATGAAGTTCCTTCAAATCACCATTTACTAATGTCTATTAGGTTCTAAAAGCTCACAGGAAAGTGCACTGCAAGTTTGGATGGCATATCCTGGATATTTTATTCATAAGCTATATAGAATTAATTTGCATTAAAATTTCAAGGAGTAATTGCATAATAGTCCCTTGAATCATCTTTAATTGCCAAAAAGTCCCTCTAATCTCAGTATTTACCAAAAAATCCATTGGATCCTCATTTTTTATTGCCAATTCGTCCCTCTGTTAGGGATTATGTTAATTTCTCTAACTGCAGTTGAGTTAAGCCTTTCCCCAACATGTAAAATTACCCAAGTGCCCGTAAAACTCCTTTTTAGTTTTAAAAGTTAAGAGGAGATGAAGAGGAATGGAGTATAGTGAAGAATTTAGAGGATTATATAGGTTTTAGAGGAAAATTTAACCATTGGAACAATTCTAGTTTGGGTTTGGGGGAACTTCTGACCGTTGAAGAAGAAAGGCTTGGTGGGTTTGGGTTGCTGGTATAAAACCATTATGATGGGTTGGTGAGATTTTAAATGGAAGTATTAAATATGGGTGCGGGTATAATGGGAAATCCATCCATTTCCATTTGAGTTAACGGAGTTTCATTCAAGTTAATAAGTTCACCTAACCAGAGAGACCAATTGGAGATAAAAATAAAGATTTGAGGGACTTTTTGGCAAATACAGAGATTTGAAGGACATTTTGGTAATTAAGGATGATTTAAGGGACTACTATGCAATTACCCCATATTTCAAATGTCATACACATTAGCAAATGAAGGTATTTAATGTGGCCTGTATGGTGCTGAGGTGCCAATGCAGCCAATCATTAAGAAAATCCATTCTGAATGAGTAATAAATGAAAGTAGAGCTAAATCAATATAAAATTAGGAACCTGCACAATATGCATTTTGATTTCTTCTAAGGAAAATCTGCATTTACCTGACTCTCTAACACTGGAAGTATCACTAAGAGAGGAACAACAGCTATATCCTGGAAAAATCAACCAATGGAGTACAGACATTAGACAAACAATTAAAATGTTCATAGACATAATAAGCAACGTATATGATGTAATGGCACTACATATGATGGTGCAGAAGACCACTGACCTGTAGGAGAAGAATTCCAAGAGTTGCAGAACCAAATCGTGTTGGAAGCTCACCTTTTTCTGCAAGAAGCTACAGAGAAGTTTGGTCACTAACAACATTGTCATAAGCTACTTGATATTTGCATAAGCTACTTGATAGCGCAAGATTGCATTTTATACTAACAGTAACCAGAATAAGAACACTAGAAGAGTCCTTGCATTTTATATCAGCATCACAGTCCATAGTTTTGGGCATGAAACGACTGCACATATTCAAAGTGGAAGGTAAGCAGGTGAACGTGTGACTATATTATGGGTGCATGTATTTCTACATTCATAAAGAATTTAGTATTTAGGACAAGAAGAATCTTAGTGACAGTATTAATTGTATATGTAACCAGTGCTGCAGATAACAGAAAAAAGTACCAAAAAGACATGAACAATTGAAATAGGAAATATGATTGTTATTAAAGAAGGAAAAAAACACAAGTACAATTTGAATAGTAATGAAATTTTCATATTTTATAGTCATTATTGCATTACTAGTATGAATACAATAACTACACAGGAGCTAGTGAAAAACTAAAGGGTGCTCTTTAAGTAAAAAGTCAGGAGAAAAAAAATGGAAACAGTGGTGGAAATTGTAAGAGAAGTTTAGGGTAAAAACTTATAAAGATATACATGTAGCATTTATGAAAAATGAATTTAGTGGAACTCATTCAACCACTCCACAGAAATATTTGAGACTATAATTCAGATTCTGGACCTTAAGGTTACTCCAATAGGTAATAACATAGTTAATAAAGGTACAAAGTCCCTGATAATAAAATATCAACCATCATGCGGTGCAGAACACAATATATAGTTAGAGATAGCATCATTTTTATTCCCTTCAAAAGTATGAAAGTAATCTTCATAGAACGCAAAAAAAAAAGCCTAGATAGCAGACTGCTAACTGATAGGATCACTAGCCAGTTAAGAACAAAATTATTTGGAAACTTTCATGCAAACATATATCATCGTTAAAAGAAAATTAAGAAGGGAACTATTTGTTTCCCTGGAGATATTTGAAGAATGTCAAAGTTGAGCAATGATAAGTATTATATCTAGAAGCTCTAACAAACTGGCTTATAACAATATCACAGCAATTTGAGATCTGTAACTATAGCTAATCAGCATGCCAGTTATGAGATGACAATATCTAATGGGAATTGGAAGGTAACGAGAACGGATGCAAAGAAACTAGATGTTGAACTCCATTGACATGCCAGAACAATACCTATTATAATTTTTTTGAAGTAACAGGTACTTTGTAGTAATGTGTGTAACTTTGGGGAAGAAGGTAACCTAAACACTAAAGAAAAGAAAAGCTGACAAAGTTCCTACTCTGTGAACAGTGTCTGAAATGTTCCATCAACTTTACAGCTGGATTTCTCTCTGAAGCAAGTGTTTCTGAATAGAGAACTTCTTTCAACCATGCACACACTTATGTTTAGCGTAGTTTGGCCATATTTCTTTCCACATTGTTTGTGCCAAGAACCAATAGCATAGGGTTACTACTTGAAATCTTTAGATCTTATTACTATGTGGTGCTAAGCAATTAGCATGTTGAATCATTTATGGTTGGGAGACCAAAGGAGGGTGTATCAGTATAGAGAATATGCATCCATTATATGTGGATGAGTTTGTACGATAAAGAGAACAACCATAATCTACCTCGAAATGTATATCTAGTTGGGGCATTCAAATTAATCATCCCTATCTGAGCCCTTCTACAGCTCCCAAGATGTTAGAAAAACAATCTAGACATGCAAAAAAGGAAGCAAATAAATAGAAACCCACAGGTGATAGTAAACATCTCTTATCTTCTGCCTAGATACGGAAGTGGTCAAAGGCAAAACATTCATCTCTGTCACACTAACATGTCATAGGGAAAACTATGCTTCTGAAGCCATAAGCAACTAAACAAGCTCTATAATTCTTCATTAGACAATCCAATTATCTTTCAATATAGTTTCACTTATAACTACTTCCACTTGATGGAAGGAAAAGCAACATGTTTGTCAAAAGAATTTTGTGACGAAACTACATTTGGAACCAATCTTATCAGACTTTTTCCAGTACAATAAGGTGCGAATAATTATTAAAAATAAGAGTCAATGTCCAGTAAATTCATTGTTTTGCTCCTAGTTAATTATTAGATAAAATATACACCTGCAGAACAAAAGCTGAAGAGGATAATGAAAGAGCAGCTCCAATCACTACAGCTTCATCAACACTCCTAATGTTGACCTGCATATTTAAACCAATAATTGAGACTGTGAATCTAGAATCAAAATTTTAAATCTAAATAATCTGGCCTACACTTTTATCATGCTTACACGCCTTCAGAATGTGACATATAACACATTTTCTAAAGCTCTGAAATTTTAAGTTTTTAGAGACAACAGTATATTCATTTAAATTTGGGTACATAAGTGATAGCAATAGGATCTCACCAGATCAGATCTTGAATGAAAAAGGAACTGGAGAATTTTGGTTCCAATAGCCCCATTAGGAGGAAGCTCAAATGCTGTAAACGCAAGGGTGGACAATACAACCTTCAACAAGATAAAGAACCAAACTATGTCAGCATCATAGGATTGGAAGGCAACATCTATGAGTTAACACATAGAGAGGGTGTTCTTTCACATGTAAATCAGCCCATGCATGGGTGGCTGTGGTAAGAACATAAGTTTGTCTGTGCATTGAGGGGTGCAGCTTTTTTCTTTTCTTTTTTTGTTGGTTTACTTGGGATCAATTTTTTCTTTGTTTTAGTCTGGAGGAGTTGAAGGGGATCATGGGCAGAAATGGTAATCAAGAAGGGTGCAACTACACAAATCTCCATGCTTAGTTATGGGCCTTATTCTGCCAATAGAATTTCTTTTAAAAATAGTCCTAGTGTACCTGCAACCATTAACAGTCAACCAACTCATAACGCCAACAGGACCTGCTGCCTATCTGATGGATCAAGCTGATCAAACTTGGAATCATAAGTTAGACAACAGTAGATGTCTAGCTAACAAGTTTGACATGAGTACTAGATAGAATAACTTTATCTTTACAGGTATTATTCACTTTCAGTGTCAGAAGCTAATCAGCACTAATAACATGAAGCAATCTGACAGAATTTCTCCTGATTCTTTAGTACAAGGAAAAAAGATCCTGAAATAACATTCCAAAAGAAAGAATCCAATATGTATGTTCTTCATGTCTTACATGCTTCGTTAATGACCATTATCTAAGTTTTTCATATAATCCTCATGTTCACTTTCTGATAGTAAAGAAATAAATGGTGATCTATGGTGTCTGCTTAAGAATTATGTCACCCTTTATATGCTGGCAGCTAGAGATCTGTGATAAGCTAAAAAAAGGTTTTATCGAACCACAATTGCAGTAAATATGCATTACTTGGACACCTCAGACTCTGCAGAAGTAACTTTCTTGCTAAATATGTTCCTTAATCCTTATAATTTCATTTTATGCACTTAACAAGATATGGTTCTTTCAAGTTTTCTCTTTTCATTGGTCCAATTGTGTAACGGTTTATTGAATTTGCTGCCTTTGATATGTCTACTAAGAGTTTGCGCTTGAATATCAAAGACTTCATACGTGTTCTATCTTTCCAGCATTATTATTAAGAAAAATCGGGGATATCATAAAAGAACTGAAAATTTTCACAAAAATATCCCTGGTTATAGGCCATGTCACGGTTCTAATCTGAAGTTATATTGTATCAAACACATGCATCAAACACGATATTTTTATTTTGCATGTACTATAGAAATTTTCCATGTGTCAATTTCCCGTCAAGTGACCAGATGGTACTCCATGTTGGCGCAACGCAGATTGTAATTTTTATGGATTAATTTAGTAAAAAATACTCACATTCACTGCGCAAAATGTATAATCACCATGTGCTCAAGTAAAGAGAAATTTATGTATAATACGGACATAAGCTCAACAATTACCGACAACAATCAAAGTGTCAGCACCATACCTGGGTCAATCCCATTCCAAATGCAAACTTTGCAAGAGCTCTAAGACGCGCTAGTGAAAGTTCTAACCCCATCTCGAAAAGCTGCAGTTTTCTAAATTAAACACCAGAAATATCAAACAGAAAAATGGATGCATCATTATAAATAAATAAAACTATTATTTTGAATGTTCTTCAACATGAAATATAAAACAATTTTGAGTAGGAAACCTCACACACCCACACCCATACCCACATCCACCACCCACCTACACACACCGTGCCCATGTGTTAGCCAAGTCTTTCTCTATACGTAAATGTATGTACTACAATTATAATTAAAAATTACAGTAGGAAAAACCTTAACATAGATTAATAGATATATGTGATATTTAATGCTATATGTTTTTAGAGTTCTGTGTCTGGACTTCTTCAAACATGACAATGTCTATGTGTAGATACTCCCTCCCACCCCAGCTCCCTCCCACTCACCCTCCCCCCTCCCTCCCTCCTTCCTCTTTATGTGTATGTGGGTGGGTGGGTGCACGTGCCTGCAGTGCAACTGTAATCATATGTCCCACTCTTCAAGGAACTTATGTGTCACAAATCCATGTCCAGGTCCTGTGTGTTTCAGACTTTTAGAAAGCAATTTAAAGTCACATCCCACCATTCTCCCTGTCAATTAATTTCAAACTTACATAATATATATAGATGATATAGTGATCAAAGCAGAAGTTAAAAACTAATGAGAAGCCCATCACTTAAAAGTCATATGCCATAAAAAATGATTGATATGTTTACTAGCCCAAATAAAAGAACACAACAATACACGTAGGCAAAAGAACACTCGAAAAGAAGAATATGGTGAATGACCACCTACCAAGAAAAGAATGCCCCATTCTGAGAGAACTTTAACATCTGTGAGGTTTCTGATAAAGCCAAATTGGTTAAGTATTACGCCCGCACAGAAGAAACCAAGTATCTGAAAGTAAGAGTGAGAGCTTATTCCACAATGGAGTGAAAATAAAATTACAAACAAAAAGAACAAGGTAACTATGAAATTCTAGATTCAAAAAGAAGGAAGCATTACTTTTAACCTCATTTAACATAGAGAAAGATAAAACAAATAAAGAGACTCTGTATCAAATATATGTTGCTTCATCGAATCCGAAATAGTTGAATCAGGTTTGTCTCTCATAATAATACAGAATAATATCTAGGCAGATGAAGCATTTAAGAAACAATGTTACAATTTAGTTTAATGATATTAATTCCATATTAAATTTATGTGTCACAAAGTCTAGGATGATTAGACCATAGCCGGTTGCTGACTTGCTTTTTGTGAATCCTTTTGCAGATCCTCCATAGCATGAGTAAGAAAGATGGGTGCACGTCTGGCTTGTAATGACTGTAAATTTCTGATAGATGAAGTTCATCTTCGAATATAACCATCAAGCTTTGTCTCTTTCCATGTGGCCTTTTAGAAACCTTCTTCACCAAAGAGTTCTGTTAAGGGAGATACCCCAATCACAAGAAGCTTTTTGATCATTTTTTATGACTTCCTCTAGGTTGAGGTCGTTCTCTCTGTCCATCCGTCTATTAAGACCATGCAGCATAACATGAACTAGCTGTAGAGGGTCTTTTTAGTTTCTGTAAAGTTAGATTCTTCATTGTATACTCTCTAATCCATCCAACTCACTCATTTCTCTATTTACATTTTGTAGCTGTGGAATAAAAGGGTTATCCTTCAAATACAGGGTAAACAGGCTATATTAAAAAAGAGTTTGCATCTGTAGATAATTACAGAAAGTTAAGTTTTCTACTTTCTATATATATTTAGTACATTAGCAAAACCTCACCCAAACTCTTAGGAAAACATGAAGCAGATTTCCACCTGCCAAAGGAAGGGGACCTCTTCTAAACTTCTGATTTGTGCTGAATTGATTCCAGTCTATTTCAACAACTAATATGCTTACACATGGGATAGAAATTCTGTGTTGTTCTAACCCCATAAATGGCAGAGAGACAGCACCGTCAGATAATTCTACTCAATAATTTAAAGCTTTAGCATGCACCGATAGAACTTTTGCCAATATAGTGTCTTAATTATCATCTAAATATTTAGACTAGATAATTCCACAACAGGAAATATCTGATGTCTTTGTCAATAGTGTGTCAAAATATTTAGACGTGCCTATTGGACATAAATGTTTGTGGTTATACTACTTGAGCTGCGTTCTTGCAGCACCTAAAGATTGCAGTTCATCATTATAGACATAAATCAACTTTTTCAACTACATGGCGACAATATCTAATCTATGCAGACCTTTGACAGTATAAATTTTTCTCGAGCTCCATCACTAAAATTTTAATGATCGAGTATCTAGAATCACCAATAATATTTTAAAATATCATGAAAATCATATTAGCAAAACGTCTTTTCAGGAAATTACTCACCGGGCTAGCTTTAAGCAGCTTAAATGCCGGTACAACCATAACAGTAACCATCAAGAAAGTAAGAGTATCAAACCCCAGATCATTGATTACATCTACGGCATTGGCAATGTCAAGCTCAGCGTATGTCCGAAATCTTTTCCGAAGGGATCGTTGACAGCTTTTTAAACGACCTCTCAAACCAAAAACCATGCAGTTTGACCGCCTATAGAGGCCCTTGGAACCATGTATAGGCATGAAGGTTAGTTGACTGTATGTAGAAGATACAGCGGTTGGAAGAGTAACTTGCCATTTCCGGTAAGGGGAAATGCCATAAAATGGCCTGTGATGACTAGAGAAAACATGCTGATAAGCTCTTATAGAACGTATCGGATCTCCAACAACTACCTGCAATTCAATTAACATTTGAGCAATTTCAGAATTTTCCACAAATGAACTATCAAATCATTCATGGTAAGTGTTAAAGACAAAAGAGTGCAAGAAAGCTACATCCCATATTCAAATGCTCATACTGGGGGTTATGTAACATATTAGCCTATGGATTTTCGTTTCGTTTCCTTTCTTTTGCCTTTCTCTTTGCCTTTCATTTTGCAGAACGAATGGCCGCGGAACCATGAGGTATTTAGCGTCTAACGAATTATACTGGCCATGTTAAGGAGATATTTAGTAAACAGGCTTGCGAGGTTATCAGATAGTGGGGGATCGTCTCGAATATCTGGAGAGAAAGCGCCAGCAACCGCAAGCTACCACCTTCCCCCACGATATGCATCGACTCCAAGCATNNNGCCTTTAGAAGCTGCCGTAGGCATAAAGCGATAACATGATGGAGCTCACTCTTCAAAAAAATCTACATACTGATGATGCCTTTTTTGCTGCCTTGCAATTCAATCGCTCAAATGAGCTAATATATTTGAGGCTTTGGTGCAAAGCATAACCTACTGTTGGAAGATCGTATAGAAAGCACAAATAACTGAAATGATAATACTAAGCAAGAAATTCACATTCAATTTCAGAGCCAAATAACTGAAATGATAATACTATCAAAAAAAAAAAAGTGTACATCAAGACGACAGCTTTTTTGGCTATGAAGACGCGTTTCTCTTGAGAGTTGTTTTAGGTTGACACGAAACATAGCTTTAAGCTTTTTCAGAAATTCCCATAGAGAACTAAATTTTTGAATTAATTCGAGAAAATAGTGGATAAGACTAGAGTTGGTTGAGGGGTTGAAGCTCGCCTTGAGAACGCAGCTGCAATCGGCCATGGCTTTGAGGTCGATTGAAGACAGGAGAGAGAGGGAGAGATTGGTGCCCCAGCGTTCATTACATCGTCGCCTCTGAAGCGAGCAGGATAAAATGAAGTGATGATGATGATGACAAGGATCAGTACGTGAGGTGGAGAGAGAGGACAAAGAAGAGGAGGTGGGGAGGCGGGTGGTGTGTCCGTAGCATTTTTTTTTTAGTTTGTGGTGTGGGGTCCTATTTGATTTTTTTCCCCCTTTTTTTCCTTTTTTTTTGGGTCTTTTTTTATTATGTCAAATGTTAAATATTTTTTACGACATTTTCCCTCTTGTCTAGAAATACACTTGAAATTTGTCATTTTATGTTCGTGCATATCTAAGTTAAAAAAAACTTATCCTGACAAGATTTATTTCTATAAAAAATTTTGCATTATAATATATTGGTGCAGATCCTGCATGTTTGATTTGATTGAAGATCAACTCTGAAAATAGAGTTCTATGAATCACAACTCTAACTCAATGTCGCACATGCTCTAGATGGGAAATAGATTATTTTAACTCAACATGCCCTCTAAAGGATTAATCTGACTTTGATTAGATTGTATTCAATTAATACAATAAAGGGAGGGAAAAAAACTCTTTCATTGGTGTCATTTCCAATTAAGGATTAGAGTTGAGTTCAAGTTTAATTTGCTCAGGTTAATCAAATAGAATTTTAAGTAGAAACACAATTTGCATTGTCTACAATCCAAAAATGACAAAATGAAAAAAAAATTATAATGTCAGGTAGCAAAAAATCAAAATAAACCATTTACAGAACTTTAAACAAAGCCACTAACAATGATATGATAAACAAAAAAAAAACGACAATATATTATTATGAAAGTAAAGATAAAGAGAACATGAATGAGCAATTGAATTCTTGTAACTTCAATTCCGATATATATTTTGTTTGAGTAGGGTCTCAAATTGGGTTATGACCTTATCTTATTCTGACCTAATCTCTTGATCAGAACTTTAATATTCTTCAGAAAATTCAAAGCCTGTTGATGTGCGAGTGGGAATGCAAGGTTTATCATATTTGGAGAAAGGGCAATCAATGTGTGGATAGTTTGGCGATGCACGAGGTTGGGTCATCAGAGTTTCAGGTCCCCCCACCCCCTCCCCCTAATGAATTGAGGCGGATGCTTCAAGAAGACGCTAGGAGCATTGCTTTCTTAGATTGGTGTCTCTAGCTTAGTTTCTCTTCCCTTGTTACCAAAAAAAATTATTTTCCTGTGACAAATATCCAGTTTTATACAAAATGAGAGCTCTTTATTAACTTAAATAATAAAACCAAGAAACTAAATAAATTACATATAAGAATAGTAAACTTTCATGACGATAACGTTGGCTTAAGGTGAGAACGTAATAAATTTTGAATATTTAATTGCCCCTGTCAATTTTATTTACCCACTATTTGCTCATCTACTACTTAACTATTAGGGATATCTAAAATATTTTAACAGCACTTCTAGTGTAAAATTTTTAGTATATCATAGTTTCTGCATTTTTTTGAAGAAACTTTTTGTAGATTTAAAAGTTTACAAATATTTTTTTCCCATGTAAATTAATTTTTAACAGTACCCCAAAACTCAACCATTTTACTTTTCTTTGTAACAATGGATGAATCTATATCTATACTACACATAAAAGAGGATTGGAATGCTAAAACTTACTCTTTTTACCCCTCTTAAATTTGATAATTCTAACTTTATTTAATTATTTTATTTATTTTTTAATTTATCTCAAAGTCCCATTCAATGAGTCTTAAATTAAATTAATTAGAAATCATCATAATAATAATTTTTAATTAGTTTCTTAGGCTCTTAAAGGTTCCAACACTTATTTAATTAATTGCATATGTTATAGATCTAATTAACTAACCACTCCTTCCTTTTCCCTTTACATAACCTCTTTTTTATCTCTACACCATAAATTACGGCTATCCATTTCCTTCAACCCACCATATCACCTACTAAACCAAATTCCTACACCAACACCATGGTTTCTGAAATATGTTATATAGTTTGTCAGATGGTTTATTGTATACATGACTTGTGTATGTATGTGCATGTGCATACATTGGATAATATTTGTCAAATAGTTTTTAGATTTAAAGATTTATTTTTTATGGAGTTGAGGTCTATGTCTCATGTTCAATTCGTGGCCCTTGATTTTTGGTTTGTCTCTTGAATCGTTGAAAAAGAGAAGGATAATAGATTATAAGAAGGTTATTATTTGAAAGTCTTGATATTTAAGAGTATGTATAAATTTGATTTGGGAATTAAAGATTAAATTTGATTTGGGAACTAAAGATTGTTTTTAATATGTATTTTGTAATGTGAATCAGGAGGACTCTTATTGATCTTTTAATGCTTAGAAAGAATGTATGATCTTATTTTTGTAGTTTATGCAAAGTTCATAAAAAATTCCCCCTCGCACAATGTTGTAAAGAGGATTTTGTGCTATTTATCATAAGTAGTGGATTTTTTTAATATAGGTCATAAGTCGCGCTTTCTTGTTCAGTAGATGTATTCATGTCTTAATTCTTAACTAATTACCCCCATTTATATGCACTTTAAATTCAGGTGTGCTATCAACTCATGCAACGCTATCAATGTTTCTTGTCCTTTTGATTTTCTTACCTCTGTTATGCATCTTTTATGTTCTTTCATTAATACTTATGTTGAATCATAGAACTTTGTTTGTCTTTTTTTTTAATTAATCACCAATAGGTTTTTTGTTCCTATCGACTTTAGGCTACAAAGATTAACTAATAAAATATACTAGTATCTTAGACCGTGCTAAACGATCTTATCGCAATTCATCTATATTTCATTGTGTTTCAGTCACTATTATCTGAACATAATTTAAAGATTTGATGACTCAACCCCCTTCGAAGCACACCCTCCCCGCCCCCCATTGAGGTTAGAGAACATGTCCCAGACTGGAAATATATTTTCACAACTATCTAAAAATAAAATAATATTCAAATTAAATCTAGATTAGGAAAATTAAACTTTCTAATTATATTAAATAAAAAATTTTAAATTATGAATTGTAAATTTGGTTAAAAATTATTTGGGTAAAAATTATAATTTTAGTATCATTTAAAAATATGAATTAAATTTTCACAATTTTGGTAATTTGAAATTTCATAAAATGTTTGTATTATATTAGACATATTTTAAAATTAAAATAATTTGAAAAATTGTGAACATGATCAAAATTAGGCAGTTAAATTAAAGTAAAATTTGGTAGTCTAAATTGGTAACTTGTATTTGATAAGATTAAGTTGGTAATTTGAAATTTAATAAAATTTTGGTATTATTTTAGAAATATTTTAAAATCAAAATAATTTGAAATTTTGTGAGTACAATCTAAATTAGGTAGCTAAATTAAAGTAAGATTTGGTAATTTGAAATTTACTAAAATTTTGGTATTATTTAATTGAAAAGTTGTTGACATAAATACGGTATAAAAATCATGGAACCAAAAGTTATTGACAAAAATTCGGTAACTAAAATATTTGGGCAAAAATTTTAATTTGAGAAATATTTAAAATATATGAATAAAATTTTCACAATTATATAGAGAATAAAAAACTCTAATTAAAATTTCAAAGTTAGAAACTAAATTATTTCAATTCAAATTTAAAAGTTTAACATTATTTTAATTATAGAAATATTTTAAATAACCATAATTATATTTTCACAACTATCTTACAATGTAATAAAATCAAAATTAAAATTGGAAATAAGAAAATAAAATTTTCCAATTATATAAAATTAAAAAATTAAAATTAAAATCTTTAAATTTAGTAAAAATTTTATTTGTGTAAAGATTATAATTTTAGTATTATCTAAAAATATGAACTAAATTTTCACAATTTTGGTAATTTAAAACTCACTAAAATTTTATTATTATTTTATATATATTTTGAATTATAATAATTTAAAAATTTGTGAATGCAATCTAAATTAGGTAGTTAAATTAAAGTAAGATTTGATACTTTAAATTGGTAACTTGTATTTGGTAAGATTAATTTTGTAATTTGAAATTTAATAACATTTTGGTATTATTTTTGAAATAACTTGAAATACTTTGAAAAATTGTGAATATGATATAAAATAAGATTTAGTAATTTAAAATTTACTAAAATTTTGGTATTATTTAATTCAATTTTTACTGAAATTAATTTTATTTTTAACATAATTTGTTTGGTATCGAAAAAAATTTTCACAACTATTTAAAAACAACAAATAAAAAATTCAATTAAATTTGCTAATTTGGAAATTAATTTATTTGGGAAAAATTTAATTGCTGTAAAATTTTTAAAAACTAAACATAAATTTTCACAAATATTTAAAAACAAAAAATCTAAATTAAAATTTAGAAATTAGGAAACTAAATTAGCTTCATAAAAAATTTAATTTTTGTTATCATATTTAAAAATACCAAAATTCTCATACATTTGAATTCTTGAACTCTTGATTTACATGAATAAGTTTGAGTTTAATAAATTTCACAATTTTATAAAATTTAAAAATCTAAAATTCAAATTAAAATTTTAGTAAATATACTTTATAGTTGCTATTTTTTTAAAATCAATATCGTAATGATTGGAGAGAGGGCCGGATCGATGAGGAGAGATACAATTGCTGCAAAGGCAAGGAAAGTAAGCATTGAAATAGTAGAGAAACCAATTTCTCATGTCAGCCCATGAGTGAGAAATATCCTCAAAGAATTCATTTGCCCACTGATCTAGAGAGTAACTAGTTGTAATGTCATATGCAACTGGAGATATCTCATAATTTTCTTTCATATAATCATTCTATTCTGCTTTACTATATTTATAACATGCACATTTGAGCAAATTCCCCAAAACTTGTGTGTCCTTTGACTTCATTCCCAAATCCTTTAGCTTTTTTCTAAATTTTTACCGGGTGTAAAACACATCTTGAGCAAATTGCTTTAGAAAAATATTCTTTCACAGGATCTTGAAATCCCTTGTGGGTATCAGGAATTACTACCAGTTGGTAGGGAGGATTGTATGGGTCTGACCTTTAATATAATATGGACCACAAACCTTGCAGAGACCACCTCCAATTAGCTACATT